CTTGGAATAAATTTGGCTACAGCAGACATTGTGATTCTTTATGATAGTGATTGGTGAGGATATTAAGCATTTGATATTTGATGAGACTGGATAGTATATTGCTAATATTTAAATATGTTGTGTTCATTATATTGCAGGAATCCACAGGTTGATTTGCAGGCTCAGGACCGTGCACACAGGATTGGTCAGAAGAAGGAAGTCCAAGTCTTCCGTTTTTGCACTGAGGTTTGGTTTGTTTTCATTAAAGATGCATAGAAATGGTGCCACTCGATATAGACACATGCTGATGTTTTTCCATTTTAATTATTCTGAACAGTATACTATTGAAGAAAAGGTTATTGAAAGAGCTTATAAGAAACTTGCACTTGATGCTTTGGTTATCCAGCAAGGTCGGCTTGCTGAACAAAAAAGTAAGTTTTAGTTGCTTGGTACCGTTTGCATATGATAATATATTTACAATGTTATGTACTAACTCTGTTCCTTGCTTTGTTCTTTGTAGCTGTAAATAAGGATGAGCTGCTGCAGATGGTGAGGTTTGGTGCTGAGATGGTCTTTAGTTCCAAAGACAGCACAATTACAGATGAAGACATAGATAGGATCATAGCTAAAGGAGAGGAAGCAACGGCTGAACTAGATGCGAAGATGAAGAAGTTTACGGAAGATGCTATCAAGTTTAAGATGGATGACAGTATGCTCCATTGCTATCTTTTATCATCCTTTATTTTATTTATAATTCTTTAATGGAGTTCATCTAATCTATATATTTTTTTCTGCAGCTGCTGATCTATATGACTTTGATGATGAAAAGGTGAGTTGGACAGATGAATTCTAAATTTTTCCTACCTATTGTGCACCAAAATTCACTGAAAATTCCTTTCTAATTTGCCGTGTGTTATTGATAAAGGATGAAAATAAGGTTGATTTTAAGAAGATTGTCAGTGAAAACTGGACTGAGCCACCAAAAAGAGAACGGAAGCGCAAGTATGCTTCTCAACTGCCAAGATACCATCTATATCATAATATCCATGTTTGAATGATTGTTGACCTTTCTTTTTGTTATTAGTTATTCTGAGTCAGATTACTTCAAGCAAACAATGCGCCAAAGTGGTCCTGCAAAACCCAAAGAACCTCGAATTCCCCGGATGCCTCAGCTGTAAGCAGCTTACTGTGTTGTGTTGATTCTGTACCTTGGCTGTTTCACATTTGTGCTGTAATCCTGATAACTAATATGTTAAGCAAATGACTCCTTTCTGATGCATCTGACCATTTTCAGGCACGACTTTCAGTTCTTTAACACACAGAGACTGAGTGAGCTGTATGAGAAAGAAGTTCGCTACCTCATGGTGGGTTGTCATGAATCTCTCTCCTCCATTGGCTATTTAGTACCTTATTTCCCTTTTTCTGGGCATGTGAGCTGATGAGTTTGTTAATTACAGCAAACACACCAAAAGAATCAATTGAAAGACACAATAGAGATGGAGGAATCAGAAGGTATTTTAATATTTTTCGTTGAAGAGAATTGGGTGTCCTTTGCTCTTTAAATTTGCTCTTAACTACTTCTTTACTGTCTAGATGTGGGAGAACCCTTAACTGCTGAAGAACAGGAAGAAAAGGAGCGACTCTTGGAAGAGGTAAGTCAACACAATGTTTCATATCATATTGGAATATAAGTTTCTTCTCTACTTGGCTTACTGGAAAATTTGCTATATGCACAGGGGTTTTCCACATGGAGCAGAAGAGACTTCAATACTTTCATCAGGGCTTGTGAGAAATATGGTCGCACTGACATAAAGGGTATTGCTACAGAAATGGAAGGGAAAACAGAGGAAGAAGTTGAAAGATATGCAAAAGTTTTCAAAGAGAGATACAAAGAATTAAATGGTAAAGTTTAATTAATGCACTTGTCAACATTCATTAAGTTCCAGTGGATCGAAAATCTTAGAATAGCACATATTTTCCTTGGAAAAAGTGGTACACAACTACATTCAATTCTTCTTCTGGAAAGTGGTAAATAGCAGAAAAATGCGAATGTAAGGACCATGATACTAAGATAGGCTTGGGAAAATGATAAGTACTACAGTCTAGTAAATTGTTAAATTTGGGAGATGATTTCATCAGGATTTTTTCATTATTGAATCTTAATTTTAGTGAACCATTGTTTCAGATTATGATAGGATCATCAAGAACATTGAGAGGGGAGAGGGCAGAATTTCACGTAGAGATGAGATCATGAAAGCAATAGGGAAAAAATTGGATCGTTACAAGAACCCATGGCTTGAGTTGAAAATCCAGTATGGTCAGAACAAGGGCAAATTGTACAATGAGGAATGTGATCGATTCATGGTGAGCTCTTGACAATTTGCTGATGTTGTGGTAGTTCCTAGAGTTACTCCTAGGCTTATTTTGGCTTCATCTGAATATTTGGACTTTACTTGTCAGATATGTATGGTTCACAAGCTTGGATATGGAAACTGGGATGAGCTGAAAGCTGCATTTCGTACATCACCTTTGTTTCGCTTTGACTGGTTTGTGAAGTCGCGTACCACCCAAGAATTGGCTAGGAGATGTGATACACTTATTCGGTTGATTGAAAGGGAAAATCAAGAATTTGATGAGAGGGAGAGACAGGCCCGGAAAGAAAAGAAACTTGCAAAGGTTGGAGCTCGAGAGTTTTCAGCCTTGGTTGTTTATTAAGAAATTTATACTCTGAAACCTGCCTCTCATCTCACGTTGTTTCTTGTTTACGTTTCACCCCTTGCAGAATGCAACGCCGTCTAAGCGTGGTCTGGCAAGGCAGGCTGCTGAGAGCCCTCCTCAAAAGAAAAAGAAGCAATTAACCATGGATGATTATGCTGGCTCGGTAAAGATTTATTGTGGTATTCTTGTATTTGTCCCTCCACATTGGGGGTTTTACCTTGTGATTAATATGCCTGGGTTTATTTATATTTCTTACTTTTGTTTCAGGGAAAGAAGAGGAAATAAAATAATGGTATGCTTCAGATTGTGTAATGATAATTTGTCAATTTGATTAACCAGGCTTCTGAGAATTACAGGAGCTGTTATCTAACTAGTCTGAGAACGACCTTCAAATGCTAAGCTTGTAGTATTGTATTTGTAGTATTCCGTATTTGTTTAGTAGATTGTACAAATGTATACAGACAGGGTTGAGGTGTAAACTATAGAAACTAGAATGACTAATGCTATTGCTATTGCTATCCGTTCTTCTTTTTATTTGTTTTGTGTTTAATTTCAATATCTGCTTCACCATCTTTCAAAAACATTGGCAACTATTGGTCCTGTTTGGTAAAAAATTAGCTTATAGGCCAATTTTGGCTTATTTGACCACTATTAATTGTTTGATTTAGTTAAAATATTAATATAAATGTTTGGTTAATTAAATTTTTTGCAACTCCAAAAGGTTAAAATTTAAAAAGCTACTTCAAGCAACTTTTTCAATTAGCTTTTTGAGAAAAAAAAATTATACCAAACAGCTATCAGTTAACAGTTAATTTACCAAACACTTTTCTACAATCAGCTAATGTTATCAACTATTTATACCCTCTAATTAATACAATCAGCTAATAGCCATTTTACCAAATAGAGTCAATTATTTATTAGTTTAATTATTATTATTATTATTGTAAATATGGTAATAAAATCTGTTTTGGGGCCAATAATGGTATAGTACTGTATAGTTATATATGATATTATTGACATCAATATTAAAAAGCACTGTAAGATCGAAGAAAAATCTTATATAATTAGTAGATCGGCTGATTTGAGACACGAGTAAGCATGTGTGTCAATAAACATCCTATATAATTAGTAGATCGGCTGATATGAAACGTGACTGAGCATACATATATAAAAAAGAAAGATCCACAGAATTGAATAAAACGTCCTCAAGAGTATCAGATTGACAGGCCAGCTATGTATATTAAAATTTGAAGCTATCCAAATAAATTCTCTGCTATGATATGATGGGACGACTCGCTCCCCAGAATATAACTTAAAGCTACCAACTTTTTTGTGTGTTTGAGTTAATGTAGAATATATCCATCCCCAAATTACAATTACATCAGATTCTTAATTCATTGTATCGCCGCCCAACCTCATTCTAATGTCGTCAATACTCTTCCGTACCAATTTATTCTCCGAACTTGCTCTTCTCTCCACCTCGACGATTTGTTAGAATCCAATGGTAAGAATCGAACTCATAGCCTTCAACATACGAGATTATGTTTAACTCATTTGACCATCTCTCTCACGAATTTTGATATGTATAATGGTACACATAAGATGAGTTTACATATAAACTTCATGTATATTTAGTTTATTTACAAATAATATTTTTACACATAAGATGAGCTTACATATAAACTCCATGTATATTTTGTTACACATCATTTGTGAAACAAAGAATAGTCTCATGTGGTTTGAGCTAACATGCTACCACACAAAATTTTAGCCTAGCCAGTTAAGGCCACGGGGCTTATCGAGCTAAAATTTTCAATTCATATTGGGCTAGTCATCGATTTCCAACTATGATTGACATTCTTATTCCTACCAATAGTCTGTTAGTGTGTGTGTGGAAGAGATTAGGTGCGAAGGAGCTCTACGGTGAAAGATGTGGTGAGATATGAGCTGTTGATCAAATCTAGATCAACGGTTCAAATCAATGAATTTTTTTTTTTTTTAAAAAAAAAAAACGCGCGTAGAGGAAGGACACGGCGGCGACACTACTCACTAGGTGGTTAGTCGATGTCTCAAGTTATATTATGAGCAATTATATATGAGTATCGATGTGCCAACTATAATAGTAAGTTGTTAAAGAAACAAACCTTAGCAAGCTAATTCATCTATATATAGTAAATTTTCATCACAACTCATTAGTTCATGCCGTGAATTTGAACGTAAATTAAAAGTGCTCATTTTAAAGTTATTTATTCGATATATGAATCCTCATGAAAATTATATTTATTAATTAATTCGAATTTACACAAAATATCACACTTTGTAAATTCATATTACACAAACATATGGTTGCCAATATTCTAGTGTCAAACTGACATATACATTATTGTTTTGTGAATCCCAAGCCACTTTACGAAAGTTAATTTTGAAGAATTATGATATGTATGTTATATTATTATTCCAAAAAAGGGAAATTAAAAAAGAAAAAGTCTTGGGTCGTTGTGTGTCAGAGCCAGAGAGCTCCGGCGTCTTTGAGCATCTTCTTGAGGGAGCCGGTGATGTGAAGGGTCATGACGGTGTTGGCGGAGCCGACGAAGCGGCCGCCGACGAAGACTGCGGGGACGGCGGGGTTGCAGCCGAGGCGGAGGAGGGCGCGCTCCATTTCGCGGCCATTACAGAAATCCTGGTCCAACTCGTAAATCAGGGGACTAACACCTTGCTCATAGAACAGCCTCTTGATTGCATGGCACATGCAACACGTGCTCTTGCTGAAGATCACCACCGCCTTCTGCGACGCCGCCTTAGCTACACGCTCCATTACTATATATCTATATGTGTCTGTGTATGTATACTGGATGGAAGCTAGCTAAGCCAAGGGTAGTTAGATATATATATATATATTGTTTGTGATATATAGATGCTTTTAGTGTTGTGAACATGTAACTATATATATAGGCCAGCAGGGCAGCAAGCTAAGAGTAGTGGATGGGTTAGTTAGTTAATTGGGTACTTGGGTAATGGGTAATCATATTAACTAGAAAGATTTTGTTAACTATATATATATATATATCTCATTTTATAGTATGGTAAAGTCTACCACCACTATTTGAATGTCCGTTTAAGGAGAAATTCTTTTTGTGATCTTAGTCAGCAAGTTTGCTAAGAAGTTTATAGCTGATTGACTCAAAGTCTCAAACTAATAAGATCAATAGACAATTCATACAGATTAGAGAGTTGAACTAGCAGGAACCTAACCTTATCATCAATGTCGGCTTGTAAAAAAAAATTCTTTTTTTAAAAAGGGATGCAGGTTTTTATTAACTCATACTTTTATCTTTTATTCTCATATCATTAATCGATATGACTTAAATATTCTATTCCTGTATATCTAAAAGGCCAGGGTTCAACTTTTCTCTCGGGTAAGTCATGTTAATTAAAGATTTCTAGGTCAGATTTTCTCACATAGTAAAGTCGTTAAACTTTACAAGTACCACCAAAACTGAATTATCCGATCAAATTAATTTTACAGTAGTATGCATGTAGAAATACCAAATATCTATCTTATGCAATTAGAAAAAAAAAAAAAAAATTGAAAGAAGGCGCAGTGGTGAGAGGAATAGTAAATGGTTGCATGCAGTTGAAGCTAGTATAGTATAGTATAGAATGAAAAAGCTAAGGGTACGGTGATATATGATGATGGAAGGAAAGTGATGACAACTTATTCTTTCACATATTCGATCGGATAGATATTTATACACTTTTATGCGTTGGCATGCCATATGCATAGATTTTTATGATATAAACTCAAAAATATAATGTTATTATAGATTAATAATCAAATAAATTGTATAACATAAAAGACATTGGTGTTAATTGAAAACATATAATAATTTCTTAATACTTTATGATCAATTTATGTATGTATATCCGTATATAAATTATTATTATTATTATATTGACAGAGTAATGGTATCAGCACCCGACCCGGATTGTCAAACGGGTACCTGACCCGGCACCACATGAAAATCCAACGGGCTAAACTCCAACGGCCAGAAGTCATTTACTACCCCGCTCTTTCAAGACAAGGAGATAATGGCTCAGCTCCTCATTATGATAGTTGTTACGTACCGCCTCATCAAAGAGCAGTTACTGAGGGGACCCTACACTTATGGAAGGGAGCCGTTGCACTTTATTAGAAGGCCATTACTGCCTATTATTATAGCTGTTATCATTATACTGTATAAGTAGATGACTTTTGGATGAGGAGGGGGACACATTCAATACTCTGTACTAAGACGCTCATTATCTTGTACTCATACCTATTGCAACACAACTTACATTGTCTCAATTACATAATAATATTATCCGATAACATATTTACCGTCATATATCATGTGTGTACGTACTCAGTCAATGTTTTGAAGTGTATATTATGCTTTATTAAATTATACTCTCCTCTTATGTATCTATAGAAAAGTAAAACTTTATAAATCAAACGTTATTGTAAAATTATCTCCTTGTGTTTGTTTGTTGAATAAGGGTTAATTATTTATCAAATTAATTATGTTTCATATTTTGTTATGAATATTTTTATAAAGTTTCGATGTGTTTTATTTTTCCCACATATCCAATAATATTTACAACTATATTTCTAGTAATTGTTATAAAAAAATTCTTAGGTATGTTTCCCGCCGCACGGGAAGATCCGTCCGATCCGCATCTGAACTCGACTATATATATATATATATATATATATATATATATATATATATATATATATATATATAGAGAGAGAGAGAGAGAGAGAGAGGCGGGTTCAGGTGCGGCAGTGTCTTACGGTGCGGTTATTTTTTACGGTGCGGCAACACCAATAGTTCACCAAATATGCACCATCAACGTTAGGAAATACACCACACAAAACAGAGCCCTGCATCACCAAACACACACCATTAGGTGTGAGTAAAAACACCATACACTATTCTGAAATACACCATTGGGGGTGGTGAGTTATATGGTGTGTTTTTTTGAGTCTGTGGTGTACTTTGTGATGTTTTATTACATTTCATTGGGGTGTGTTTTTATTACACTGTTGGTGCATATTGTTAACACTGTTGATGTATTCTGAAATTTGACCGCACCGCCGCACCGTAAGACCCCGCCGTATATGAGCGCTCTTCTATATATATATATATATATATATATATATATATATATATATATATATATATATATATATATATAGGGCTATAGCCTATAGGCGAGGGAATGTCAACTCTATGTAATAAGATGATGCTTATTAAGTAGGCCGGGGAAGTGGACACGATGCATTACGTGAACATTTTACTGTACGCAACAGTGAATTCAAGTTGATTGAAACCGAATATTGTCATCTTTTAACAAAAAATTATTACGGAGTATTATACGCTAAGAATAAATGTTTTTTTTTTATTTTTAAAAATAATGTATTAATTAATTATTCTTATATATATGGATGAGATCATGTGTAATTGTGCAAAGGAGCTCCAGGTAAAAAATGAGGTGAGAGTTTTGTCTGAGACTCTGAGTTTATTTTATGTTGAATGAACATCATGAGCTTGTTTCATATTTTGTTCCCAATTCGAACTCCGGAAAATTAATCATTGCAGGTAGATGGAGTGCCCATTGAATTCACTAGTTAAACATAATAATGTTTTTTTTTTTTTTTTTTTTTTAACTTTACGAAAGAATCCATGATTATATACAGTATGTTCTCTTTGGTTTGAACTTCCAGAATACTTTCTTCATTGCAAGCTCGTTATACACGTACAATATTTGATGATCATTTGCACCATAGGTTCAAAGTTATGTACACGTAAATTCAAAATTATGCATCTCAAGGTTCAAGTTAGGTTATGCACCTGAAGATTTAAATTAAAGTTATGCACCTGAAGTTTTAAAGTTATACACATTAAGTTTCAAAGTTATGCACCTGAAGTTTTAAAGTTATGCACATGAAGTTTTAAAGTTACGCATCTAATTGCTCAAAGTTATGTATCTCAATGTGCAAAGTTATGCACCATAAGGTTTAAAGTTATACACCATAAATTTTAAAGTTATGCACATGATATATAAATCTAAAACTTCCTTATTTAAAAATAAAAAATAAAAAATTACATGCATGCAATGCTGATGAACGTCGTAGACTCGTAAAATTTGCCAAGAAATTGATATTTAATTTGGATACAATTCAACCAATGAGCCACTAAATGAATATAATGCACAATATGCACTCGAAAAGACAAATTAAATTACATATGCACTTGAAGAACGAAAACTCACTGCTAGAAATTATAGAATTTCCGACCACCTGAAAGTGATCTTAAATCAAGTTGAAAGTAAAAAGTGGTCAGAAATAGCAACAAAGGTTTTTTCAGATACCAAAAGTGGTCGGAACAAGACTTTCAACTTGATTTAAGATCATTTTCAGGTGGTCGGAAATTTCATAATTTCCAGAGTGTACTATACAATTGAAGAAGTAAAATAATGCACACATCTTTTGAGAAGCTAATAAAATAAATATGCACTCGAAGAGACAAACATATGCACTCGAAAAAGGAAAATTGTGCACTTGAAAAATAAAATAATGCACCCAAAAATAAAGAACATCTGAACTTACACAAAACTACCATAATGACACCATTTTTTAAAAATTTTTTTTTTCTTCATTTTGAATGGTTGATTTGGACTAGATCAATGACTGTGATTTTAACCTTATTTTTTATCTAAGAGCTCTTTCACATTTGATATGTTATATATGCATGTTATTGATCTTGTGTAGTAAGACATTCCATATAAGATGAGTAATCAATAATTTGTAAAGAAAATATAATGAGTAATACATTTTCAATTATACATTTTATGTAACAAGTAATATATTTCAGTAAAATATAAATTTTCTTCTATTAGTTAATGCAACATTAAAATCTAATGAAAATTAAAGTTGATTCCTAACCTAACTTTATTGTGATGGAAGACTCAAAGTCAACTATTATATATCAAATAAAAGTCATAATTGACAATTCTATCTACTTTAGTAGGATGGGATCGGATTATATATGCATATGGATAGAATATGTTTTGGTACATGCATTTGATTATATAGAGTTGCTTAGATTGGTTAATACCATACATAATATGCCTTAATATGTACTACTTGTTTTTATTCTTTTATACCAACTCTGTTTTATATGATACATTTAAAATGTGTGATTCTATTGATCAATTTATAGATTATTAATAAATATAAAGAAATTATAATGCTTATAAAAAATAAATAATTTGACATAATATTTAATACAACTAATTTGGGATAAGACTTAGTCTAGTGAATGAGAAGCTTTAGTTTGACTTGTTTCCAAGCTGAAAGTTCGATTTTTGTTATGAACATTGAGAGCATAGGTTTGGATTGAATTTTTTGTGTGCAAAAATATACAGTGCATAGGTTTGGATTGAATTTTTTGTGCGCAAAAATATACAGTTCATTTTTTTTTTTTTAATTTCAGACCGCTTCGTTGTAGGAATATATGTTCATAATTCCGTTAACGGCGTACATTGTGAACACGAGTCCACAACATAATTTGTGCTATGTCTCCACTAAGGCTTGAACTCATCACCAGCCACTTAGAGAAGCAACTTGGTACCATTGGACCACAAGGTCAAGGTCCTTCGTATTGAATACATATTTTTAATTCACACTAAATTTACTTTTTCATTTTACCTCAAACTAATTGTCCCATAAAAGTGGGGACTATATTTTTTCCTTTAGGGTGTGTTTGGAAACCTGGAAAATGAGTTCTGGAAATCATTTTCCAAGTTTTCATTGTTTGGATGTGCTTGGAAAATCAAGTCAA